TCTTGCGCATAGCGGTACGCAAGATACGGCCGCTTCGGCTTCGGCACTAGACCGGAGGTAGGGAGCTCGGAGCTCGATCCCTCCCTACGAGCCTTGGCGGAAGTAGACGCTTCTGGCTGATCTTCCTTCAGTCTTCGAGAGTCTTCAAGCTTTATTTCCGACCCGGACAATTTTAGGGGTCTACAGTGTTAAAGAAATCATTCTTGATTAACATGTTTGTATGCACAACATTGCATTAAACTGAATCAAAGTATTGCATATTGATTGCCTTTAACTTTGAAGTGTATTAAAGAATAATCAAGAAAGCATATAGGATTCATTCTTCATTAACAAGTCTTTAAGGAACTTCTTTGAAAATTCATATTAGAAAAGTTTGAATTGAAATAAAGATCCTAAAGAACTCTGAAATTTTTTTAAAGTGTCATAATCCAATTCACCCCCCTCTTGGATTGAGCCATTCTTTTCTAACAAATGTTGGTGGAGTGCAGCCATAAACCACCTGAAAAGGAGTCATACCTGTTGAGGTTTGATACGCTGTGTTATACCAGAACTCTGCCCAAGGAAGAAATTGCAACGATTTGCGAGGTTGGTCATGAACGAAACAACACAAATACATCTCAATACAACGATTGAGTACCTCAGATTGTTTGTCCATTTGCAGATGATACGTTGTGCTCATGGCTAAGGTAGTACCCTGTGACTTAAATAATTATTGCCAAAAATGACTAGTAAAAGTCTTATCTCTATCACAAATAATGGACTTCGGCATGCCATGCAACTTAACAAAATTTAGTATAAATTGATTAGCAACAACCGCACTAGTAAATCCTGATTTTAAAGGAATGAGATAAGCATATTTAGATAATCAATCTATTACCACCATAATAATCGTAAAACCATGTACAGGGGGCAAACCGGTGACAAAATCCATTGCTACATCCTCCCAAATCTTGTCGGGAATAGGCAATGGGTTCAATAGACCAGCAAGTAATGACTGAGAGTATTTATCTTGCTGACACACCTGACATTGTTGAATATAAAGTTTGACCTACTGTTTGAGGCCATGCCAGAAAAATTGCGCCAACTAGGGGTGGGCAAAAAAAACTAAATTGAACTGAACTGAACTGAACTGGTAGTGAACTGTACCATAAAAAACTGAACTGTTTGTAAAAAAACTGAACTGAACTGTTTAAAAAAAAATTGAACTGAACTGAACTGTTGTAAAGTTGAACTGTACTAACTATAAAAACTGAACTGAATTATAAAAATTGAACTATTTTTATAAAAGAATAAAAATTAAATGTGTTTAACATGTTATGTCTTAATGGATTAGCTCGATAGTCTAATAACCAAAACTTTAGAAAAAAAAGTGATCTGAAAAAAATTTGTATCAATTTTGTCGAACTTAACGGATTAATTGAGTTATGTTGAACTACTTATTTTTAGACTTAAAATTCATTGAGTTTGTTTGACTTAATTTTATATTTTTTTCCTTTGAAAAATTTAAATAAAATGGAAAATAAAGTAAAGTTGGCAAATGTGTCCTATTTTGATAGATCAATGAGTCAAAATTGTTCAATTCAAAATATCATAACAGTTTAGTGCAGTTTAAATTGTAGTTCAGTTCAAGTTTTTATAGTATAGTTCAGTTCAGTTCAATGACACAAAAGAATAGTTCAGTTCAGTTCGTCTGAACTAATATTTAGTTTAGTTCAGTTCATATGAACTACTTTTAAGTTCAGTATAGTTTTTATAAGTTCAGTTCAGTTCAGTTCGTTTTGCCCACCCCTAGCGCCAACAAACGCTGGTAGGTGCGCAAGAACCCCGAGTGACCACCAATTGGAGAGTCATGAAATTCACGTATCAATTGGAGAGTAAGAGGAGATGTGGCAAGGAATACCAAACGGTCCTTCCAGTAAAGGAGATTGTCATGTACACGAAAGTAAGGGTGGACTGTTCCGTGTTGTAATTCCCTCAAAATGCAACCATGTTTAGGATCCTCCAAAAGTACTTTCTTGAGTTCAACAAAAAATTCACAATGAGGTATAAATAAAGCAAAACACTCTAGACGGGACAAAGCATCAGCACCTGCATTTTGAGCCCCTGGTTTGTACTCGATGGTGAAGTCATAACCCATCAATTTATGCATCCATTGTTGTTGCTCCGACGTTTGTAAAACGTGCTCAGTCAATGGTCATAGGCTCTTATGATCTGTTCGTATCACAAAACGATGACCCAATAAATAATGACGGAATTTCGCAAATACTTCGGTTAAGGCATACATTTCATTAACGTAAGTGGACTTGGATTGGAGTCTAGGGGACAACATTTTGGAGAAATAAGCGATGGGGTGCCCATGTTGACTGAGAATGGCACCAATGCCAGAACTAGATGCATCGGTCTCTAAATCAAATGGAACCGTAAAATCTAGTAACCGTGAAACAAGGGCCTAAGTGATGGCATTCTTCAAAGCCTCAAAAGTAGATTGGGTGACCGTATCCTAATGAAATGCATCGTTTTTTAACAAATCATGCAAAGGACCAGCAATAGAGGCATACCCCTTAATAAAGCGACAATAATAACTTGTCAACCCAAGGAAACCGCGAAGATGTCGAAGTGTTGTAGGCGTTAACCAATTTGCCACTACATTAACCTTCTCTGGATCCATAAAAACACCCTCTACAGAAACCAAATGACCAAGGTAAGCAATTTGTTGAGTGCCAAAAGCACACTTAGAGAGCTTGGCATGTAACTTGTGTTGTTGCATGGTGTCTAACACCTGAGTGAGGTGAACGATATGCTCCAGCCAAGATGGGCTATAAATCAAGATGTCGTCGAAGGAAACAAGGACAAAACGACGGAGGAAGGGTTGAAACACATGATTCATCAAAGCTTGAAAAGAAGCAGGCGCATTTGTAAGCCCAAACAGCATCACTAGCCATTCATAATGCCCTTGAGGAGTTTGAAATGCTATTTTAAAACGATCTTCAGGTTTGACCAACAGCTGGTGATACCCAGAACGTAAATCCAGTTTAGAGAAGTATAGAGCACCATTGAGTTCATCGAGTAACTCATCCACGTTGGCATTAGGAAGCTATCTTTAACAGTTACTTCATTTAAAGCACGATAATCAGTACAAAAACACCATGAGCCATCTCGTTTTTTGACCAAGATGACAGGGGATGAAAATAGGCTTGTACTATGTTGTATGAGGCCATCCTACAACAACTCTTGAACTATGCGTTCAATTTCTGCTTTATAACTAAATGGATAACGGTATGATCGCACCTTTACTGGAGCAGCCATAGGAATCAACGGAATGGCATGATCATAACTACGGACAGGAGGCAAACCACGAGGCTTATGAAATATCCCAATAAACTGATGCAAGAGCGCCAAAATCTCTGAATGTGGAGAAGGATCCAAAGCAACAAAGGGGTCATCATTGGGATTCACCTCTTGTGGGTGCAATGTAAAGACTTCAGATATTGCATCCGTATGTTGCAAACGATGTAGGTGATGGTATTGAGCCTGAACAGCAGATCCAAGGGTCTTGTGTTCACCCTTTAATGTGACAAATTTTGAACCAGCATAATATTTGATGGTCAATTGACTATAATCAGCAACATGGGAGCCTAAAGTTGCAAGCCAAGATGCGCCCAAAATGACTTGCGCACCGGAAATGGGTAAGACAAACGCCGAAAGCGAAATTGTATGATTCTGAATCACTAAAGGAACCTGCTTAACACAACCTTCACAAGTGAGAAAATCTACATTACCAACCAATACCTTAAATTTCGGCATTGATTCCACTGACAATTGCAAAAAGTGGGCAAGCCGAGGTTGGATAAAATTATCTGATGAACCTCCATCCAAAAGAACATGAACCTGGTGTCCCAAAATCGACCTTGTGAAACGAAGTGTGCCCAGGATAGAAGCGCCATTCAACACGTTGTAGGATAAGTGGTGAAATGCTGCCATGGAGTCCTCTAAAATTGGTGTTTCAGTGGACAAGGGTAAGGGTAAAGTAGGGTCAGGGGGTGGTTCAGGGTCATCGTCATACTGGAGGAGCATTAGTTGACGATTAGGGAAACGGTGACTAGGAGTAAATTTAGCATCACAAGTGTAACAAAGCCCACGATCATGTTGGAGTTGCATATCTGTAGGTGTCAGGTGTTTGATGGCAGTGGCTGTGTTTGTAACAAGTAAGGTTGACGGTTTGGGTGGTGTGGGTAGTAAGCCCGGGAGGGACGATGGGCCGATGACAGAAGTTGGGTTGGTCTATTTAGTGGTGTGAGTAAAACGAGATTTGGAAAATGAAGGGGAAATAGTGTTAACCTTTTCGTCGAAGATGTGTGCAAGAGCAACAACGCGGAGGAGTGAGGTTGGTGCTTGCACAATGACGTCACATTTCACCTCTGGTTTCAGTCCACTAACGAAATAGTCCAAAAGCGCTGCATCGGTCAAGCCCTCCACCCGATTGGCCAATGACGAGAACTCATGATAATAAGCTATAACAGAACCTGTCTGAGAAAGCTTAAACAAGGCGAAGCGAGGAGACTCAAAGGGCGAAGGTCCGAAATGCGATTCTACCACATCAGCCAACGTTTGCCACGTGGGAATAAGATTTTGACGTTAGAGCATTTGAAACCATGGTCCAGCATCACCTTCCATATGAATCGTCGCAATCTGTAAACGCTGAGTCTTTGGTGTTAGATACAAAGCAAAAAATTGCTCTACACGAAACAACCAATTAAGCGGTTGAGATCCATCAAATTTGGGAAAATCCAACTTCATAGAGCAAAGCGGAAGACCTGAACTACCATTGCCCACAGGAGCGTCATACTGAATAACACGTTCGAGTTGACGCATGATGGTATCCATGGCACGGGTCAAAGCATCCATAGAGAGTTCTAAACAGTCCATGCGTTATGTGTTCTGGTTGAGAACAATAGACTCTAGCTTTTGTTCCAGCAACTAAAATCTAGAGGACCCACTAGAATCCATGTTAGCAACTGTATCCTGCAATTTTCTGAGATCTGACGTTAATTCCTTTAAACGCGTATTTTCAGCCATTATGGAGGTCAATGAAAGCACCAATTGATGTGATTCTAGTAATATGCTGAGCAATAGAGTAATCCTTCTTTTGATTTGAATAGAAATTTGACAATGACAAGTATTGTAGTCATAGCACAGAAAACAATAAAGAAACGTAGAAAGATTTCCAACTCAAAACATAAAGTTGGCCACAGGTAAGAGAGGAAATCGAGAAAGGGAAAGAGAGAGATATTCCAAAATTCACTACGCTCCACTACTCAGACCTCATTCCTTATTTTTATTCTCTCAGCTTCCACGTTGGTCTCCTTGCACGCATATTGTGCCTTCTTTCCCCCAATTCTGTTAGTTTGGTGTTGGGACCACTAGCCACGTGTCCTGCCTCCTGATTCCCACCTTTTGCTCTTGTATCACGGACCAGAAGTGGTTAAGAATACTTAGAGAACTAGAAGTGGTTAAGAATACTAGCGTTGATAAGTGAGGTTGACGAGCCAGAAGTGGTTGAGAATACTTGTAATCCTCTGTGATTTGTGGAACTCTTCAATTGAGGGAGACTAGATGTAGCTCAGATTGAGTGAACCAGTATAAACATCTGTGCATACCTTTATCTATTTTTCAAACACTACTTGTTTAAAAACTTCGTCTTTCATCTACTTTTATTTCAAAAAACTGTTAGACGAAAACACACTTGTCCATTCTTTTTAAGAAACAATCTTTTTATTCGGACAATAAAACCTTTCAGACGGAAAACAAATTTTCTCAACTTGTTTCTTGAAGTAGACGATCAGTTTTATTAGACGCAAAATATTTCTAGTCAGACAAGCATGTACCAGTTTTCAACAGTTCTTGAATATTCTTTTTATTAAAAGAAAAAGGAGTATCTTTATAAAGCGTTTTTGAAAAATCTTCCTTCGAACACACACACACATTCAAACCCCCTTCTATGTGTATTTCCGCTAACTTCAAGTATATAATAGCATATATATCATATTAATAATTGAGGAGGGTTTGATAAGTTTCACAAGATAAACAAGATAAAGTCATATCGTAATATATATGATTTTTTTGGTAAAATACATACACTTAGATAAATTCAACATTGTAACTCGTATTAATAAATGTTGTATAATAATCCAATAAAATAGAGTTAGTTACTCTATTAAGATATTAATAGAAAAATACAGTTACAAAATTTCATATAAATAGTTATACTCTTGTATCTTTTAATAATAATGAATGAGAAGGCCTCTATTCTTAGTCTTTTGTATTTTTTCCATCTACTTTATTTTGTGGATATGTATGCATAAGTGTTCATCTCAATTCTTAACATAGTGGTATCAGGAGCTTATGTGTGAAAGAGACCTGTGAGAGTAAAAAAACACACCATAGACAATGAGTTGAAGCATTGTTGGGAGTGTGCTTCTATGGCTACTATAAGTGCTATACTTGGGAACCTCCCCATATTTGATGGGAAAGACTATGATGATTGGTGCATGAAGATGGATGTTATTCTTGGATTTCAAGAAATTGATAAAGTTATGAAAATTGGGTTTTAAGAACCCCCTAAGAATGCCTCAAAAGAACAAAAGGAAATGTATAAGGAGAATAAGAGATTGGATTGCAAAAGGCTTGAGTTTTATTGCATTAGTGTGTTTCTGCAATCATTTTCCAGAAAATTTCCAAAGCCACAACATCAAAGCAAGTGTGGGATATTCTAAAACAAGTGTATGAACTGCTCTCCATGATTGAGCAAGAGACCATCGCAGAGTATTTTAATAGAATCCAAAGTGTGGCTAATTTGATGCAAGATTGTGATGAGATGTTGGTTGATTACAAGATTGTTGAAAAGGTACTTAGAACCTTAACTCCTTGATTTGATCATATAGTCATTGCTATAGAGGAGTCGAAAGATCTTGAGACTATGACTATTGAAGAATTGCAAAACTCTTTAAAGGCACATGAGCAGAGAGGGATTGAGAGAAGAGGTAGCAAAAAGGATACAGAGCAAGCTTTGCAGGCCAAAACCAATTAAAAGAATAAAGGTCATGGTGGCTGGAAGTGGACATTCAAATGGCTCCATCT